CCCCCGTCTCCCTGTCACCTTGCGCTCGCTTCCTGACGGGCCTGTGTGGGGCACGGGGCCAGCACCCAGGAGGGCCTGGGGGTGAGTCCCGCTCCCCCAGGCCGAAATGCACCCGCGACCCCTGGAGACGATGGCGCGGGGCTCCCTCTGCTCTGCGGCCTCTGTGGCTCCCCCCTCTCCGGCTCGGAAGGCGCAGGGCTGATCGCGACCATCCGGAGGTCAGGAGAGCCTAGGCGGTGCCCACGTGCCCGCTGGGGCGAGGCTCAGGTCCTGCCCCGCCCAGGAGCCTGAGGCCGCAGAACCCTCCTGGCCCGCCAACTGCCTGTTTCCCTCCACCATCAAGTCCCGGATGGCACCTAGACCCCCTTCAGCCCTGGTGTACAGGCCTCTGGGTGAAGCTCAGGGTTAGAAGCCGGAGGCTCCCCCCTCTCCCCTCCAGGCCCCTCCCCAGCCTGAGGCCGAACCCCTGCACTGACAGCTGGGGCAGTCAGGGCTATTTGTGGCCAGCCGCGTGCTCCCTGCCCCTCCCACACTGGCCTCCGCCCCGCCGGGGCCCAGCGCCCCCACTCGGCTCCTCTGACTCTCCCGGAAGCTAGCCATGCCCGGGAGAAGGCGTTCTCCTCCAGGCTGGGGGCACCCGCAGGGGTGCCGCCGCTCACCCCCTGCCTGCTTGGCCTGGGGACCTGAGTCCCAGCCAGCGCCGGGCCCCCGTCAGCCTTCGCCGCTGCTGTGCCGTGACATGGCCCTGCAGAACGCCCTGTACACCGGAGACCTGGCGAGGCTGCGGGAGCTGTTCCCCGCCCACGGCACGGCCGACCTGCTGCTGGAGACCAGGGCCGCCGAGCCACGCTGGGGCAGCCGCCACCCAGGTGAGGGCGGGGAGGCCGTGGCCCGGGCATCGAGCTGGTAAGGAGAAGAGGCTTCCTGGCTGCCGTGCGGCCCTGGGGCGGGCCTAGACCTTGGCCCCGGCGGGGGTCATGCGGAGCCCAGAATAGCTCGTCCGAGTCGGTCAGCCAGCCGGGACGGCCTGGCCTGCCGGTTTCGCTCTCCTCCTCTGCCTGCTGCCGGCTTCCTCCGCCCCTCCCCTGGTGCTTTACACTGCGCTCATGAGCTGGTCCCCAGAAGAGTGCAGGGGGCAGGGAGAGCCCCGCGACGAGAGACACACCCTCTGTGCCAGGCTGGTGGAGGGGCCCGGCAGCGGGGCCCCTGAGCGCCCCGAGTCTGGCCTGCGCCCCATCGCCACCCGCACCGCCTCGGGACCTGCCCTGGCCTTCTGGCAGGCGGTGCTGGCCGGGGACGTGGGCTCTGTCGCCCGCATTCTCGCCGACGCCAGCACGGGCCTGGCTCCAGATTCCGTCTTTGACACCAGCGACCCAGAGCAGTGGAGGGATTTCCGATTCAACATCCGCGCTCTGAGTATGGGCCCCGGGGCACTGGAGGGGGCCCCCGGGGCCTGAGCGGGAGCGGGGAGGCTGGGGGCGGAGCGCCGGCTCCCTCTTTCCGGCCCTGCCCACGCCCTGGTTTTCCGGTAATTCCTTGCTTCCCGCTAGGGCCTGAGCCCATGTTCCCTCTCCCCCTAGGACTCTGGTCTCTGACATATGAAGAGGAGCTGACCACCCCCCTGCACGTGGCAGCCAGCCGGGGCCACGCAGAGGTCCTGCAGCTGCTGCTGAGGCGGCGGGCCAGGCCCGACAGCGCCCCTGGGGGCCACACCGCCCTGCACGAGGCCTGTGCGGGAGGCCACGCGGCCTGCGTCCGTGTGCTGCTGGCGGCTGGAGCAGACCCCAACATCCCTGACCAGGACGGGAAACGCCCCCTGCACCTGTGTCGGGGGCCTGGCACCCTTGAGTGAGTGACACCCCTACACCATTCCACTCTTAGGGGCGTCCGAGAGAGGAACCTCGGGGTGTTAGGGGTACACGCCAGGAGGTGGCAGGCCCGGGGGGCTGGGCTGGGTGGGGGGTCAGGCTGAGATGATGCCCCAAACCCTCAACCTCTGGCCCTTGGGACTTGGGACGGCCTCCACCCGGGTGGAGGGGCGGGCAGGGCCCCGCTGCACACTGACACACACTGTCCATTCAGGGAGGCCTGTGGCGTCTTGGCATCCTGAGCCTGTCCCGGCACTGGGCTGAGGGCGTGAAACGGTAGCTTAGGCACAAGCTTCAGAGCAGACTGACCAAAAAGAAATGGCCTGTGAGGGACTGCAGTCCCCACTGTGGCCCCACGGCAGGCAGGCTTCTCAGCCTGACGGGACCGGCCTTTCCACACTGGCAGGGGCGCCCTCGGGTAGGGCTCGGGGCTGAGCCTCATGGCCCAAACTCACCAGAGACGGATGGACAGACGCCAGGGTGGCACTGTGCGACCTCTGGTGGGGATGTGACCCAGTCACTACGCCCTATGTGGAGGGCACCATGGGCACGCCAAGGAGCGTGGAATCTGGGCAGAGACTGGCAAATGTCGCAACTGGCAACGCGCGAGCCCTTCCCCACCCACACTGCACATCTCGCCCACACGGCGACCCGACCCTGGCGTCCCTCGGGGCTCCTCCCTCCCGTCAGCCCAGCAGCCTGAGGTCTGCACTGGCTCGGCCACGTGGGGGACCCACGCCAGCTGGGTCCGCGGACACAGCACCAGCCCCGCCACGACTTCAAGTTCCCGTCCTACGAAAGCGAAACACAGTGGCCCTTTTCTTCAGTCGTGAAATACTCAGACTCTCAACGCGGCCGCCTGAGCCGCTTCTAAGAGCATGGGTGGGTGGCAGCGTGTGTCCCCGGCACCGCCTGTCTCCTGGACCTTTCACCTTGCAAAACGGAAACTGGCCCCACTGACCCCACTCCCGCGCCGCCTCACCTCGGGCCCTGGCACTGCCAGCCCTTCCTTCCGTCGCTCTGAATTTGATCAGGGAGGCACCACCCACACGGGATCACACACTGCTCTTTTGTGACGGGCTCATTTCACTCAGCACCTCGGCCCCAGGGTTCACGCACTGGCGGAGCAACTGAGGATTCCCTTCTCCTTCGGGGTTAAGAGCTACTGCACACAGCTGCCATGCTTTATCCGTCCATCAGTTTGTGGGTGCTTACAGTGCTCCCACGTGGGCTAGGCTGAGTGCTGTTGCAGTGACGTCAGTATACAGCCACCTGTGAAACGGGAGGTTAATTTTAACACTATATTCTGTTGCACACAATAAATCGCAAATGTTAGCGTGGCAACGTGTAATGGATAGAAAAAACGAAGGAGGTATTTTACACTCTCCTTTTGCACCAAAATCGGTGTGTATTGCACACATAGCTTACCTCAAGAAGGACGAGCCCGACGGACATGCCCTTGGCCAGCCCTGACCACGCAGACCTGGACAAACCCACACTTGTGGTCGGCCCCCCCCCCCCAGCCCAGGCCCCAGGGCCACGCCCAGCGGTGATCATTCCTTCTCCAGAGGCACACGTGTGTGTCCACACATCCAGCCTTACAGGACGGTGGGCAGGGTGATCTCGTGACCCCATCACCACCCGATCTGCGCCCACTCCCCAGCCCGACGCGGCCAGGCTGAAAGCTTTGCAGGCCCATGCCCGATGCTGCCTGCAGCCACCTCCCCAGACCCCCGGGAAAGCAGCACCCCGACTCTATGGATGTGAGAGGTTGGATTTTCCTTCCAGGTGGGGGTGACTGCTGAGCACTGAGCGCACAGCGGGCCAACTTTGATCTGGGCGCCCCCCTGCGCCCACTTCCCCTGTGCGGTGGCCAGGCTCTGCCCACTCCCCCCAGTGCCTGCCTGAGCTGCCTGCCGCCCTGCGCCCCAGCCCAGCCCCGCCCCTGCTGCCTCGGGGTCCTTACCCACTTGCCCTGGGGCCGCCCGAGGGCGTGTGCATGAGTGCAGGGAAGGCCCATCCGGCCTCACCCACAGCGCGCCTCGTTGGAGCAGACCGGGGTGGGGGTGCACCCTGTTTTCTGCCCGTGTCGCCCTAACTAGGTGTGCAGAGCTGCTCTTGAGGTTCGGGGCGAGCGTGGACGGGCGGTCTGAGGAAGAGGAGGAGACGCCCCTGCTGGTGGCCGCCCGGCTGGGCCACGTGGAGCTGGCGGAGCTGCTGCTGCGACGGGGGGCGTGCCCCGATGCCCGC